ACAGAAAATCAATGCTGTCCGCAAATCATAGTTAGTAGGCTCGAAACGTGACATGTTTAAGGTTATACAAAAATATACTAGAGAATGAAAGTTGGGGTTATGTTTGTTGACAATATTCGTCAGCTGTTAGGAGAATATAATAGCGCGGCAGTAGCGGTCTTACGGTCACTAAACTGAACGCTGGCACCATCTATAGGGGAATTCCGGTTTCATACTTCTACACCTGGTATATCCGAATTCTAATAGGAGTTAATGGTTTATTTTACAAGAGGGTTGATTAGGTTTTTAGTTCCTTGATTTTCCTTGAATTCAGTAGAAATCGTATCTTTTTATTTAATTGCATTGATTCGTCTTCATATTCAGAGCTTAAGTAGTTTGTCCATTCATGTTTGCTCTTTGGTGTTTTCCGGTCTTGAGAAAAAAAGAATTAACATACTTGATTTATATCATGTTAATGATAACGACTTTACAAGGATAGATACACGTTTCTGTTCTTTTGTTTGTTTAAGGGGGGTTTCTACTTTGTTCGCCAGGAAAAATGGGTAATTTTTGGAATTTATAAAAAAGAAACTATTAAAGATAAAATTCTAAAATTCTAAAATTTGGAATACATTTAAATTTATCTTAATTAAACATAAAAAAATCGCTACGACAATTTAAGTAATAGACAAGCTGGGCGGGCAGGGTGGGCGGAGTGTGCGGCGGAACGAGATGGTCAGCTGGTGGAAGTTTTTAGAGGCTGGAAAATGACCTGAAAAAAAAAACAAAAATTTTTTTATAATCTATAGAGGTTTGTGCTTCATATAGATTAAAATAAAAAATTACAAAAGTTTTTAAGTGAGTTGTAGTCATTCAAACAAAAAATATGTAACAATCCGGAAAATCGTCACAATAATCGGGGAACGTTATTTAGAATTAACGTCGAACAACCGCGCGCGGAAAAACCGCAAGGTCAACAAACAGCCGCTCTGTTTGTTGCAAATTAGTATAAAAGCCGACACAAAAACGATATCGAGAGAGATTGATAGAAAAACTCTCCTTAGGCACACCACCGATCAAAAGCTCGCAACCTCCCAGAGATCCTAGACCGTTCCGTCGACCGAAATGGATTCGCGACGTCGACCTCCTGTCCCTCACGCCACGCCGCTAACACATAAGACCACGAACGCGTACAGGGCGTAAGATACCAGTGACGACGAACGCCTTTAAACCAGCCAGGATAAAAGCCGGTGTAAACAATCAGCTTAAAGCCGACGAGTCGACAAACGCCAAAGATGGACAATAGCATATCGGGAAACATTCCCGATCGCGTCCCGCCGGACGCGCGCGCGCCTCGACGCTCACAGCTGATCGCGCGACGACAACATCGGCTCCCGACGAGAGCAAAAACGCGACCACGCGCCAACGGCGTAATGTCATATGTAAATAATTGTAAATAGCATTGAGATTAGAATATAGTTCTACGTTATTATAACCTACACCACTGCTTTTCATCTAACGAACGGAACCTCGGACCGCACCGACTAAAACTATCCCGCACGTAACATAAGGCCGTTACAAATTGGCGCACGAACAGATAAAGAAAATGATGAAGCAGTGGATTTATACATTGGCAAAAGACCAGATAATTCAAAAAATAGCAGAACTAGGATTGTCCACGGAAGGCACTCTAGATGAATTAAGAAGCAAACTAAGTAAATATGTCTCCGATAACCCGCAACGGTTCACAAATAGAACGGAAGACGAAGGGACGAGCCAAGAGACAGAAGTATCATATAAAAATGACCCTGCGACGGTTACAAAAACAATTAATCAAATGCGTAAATGGGGATGTCAATTCGATGGGAAAGATCCAATCTTTTTCCTGGAGCGAATTGAAAAATTGCAAAATAGTTACGAATATACCGACGAACAAATGCTGCAGGGCTTATCAGAATTACTGCGCGGAAGTACCTTACATTGGTACAAGAACAACAAGAAGGCATGGAAAGAGTGAAACGACTTCACGAACGCATTTCGGGAACAATAATTCCCATATAGATACAAGAACCATTAAAAATAGAAGTACAGAGACGATTACAGCAAGTAAACAAACATTAGGCATTATGCTACAGAACTGGCGACGCTCATGAGAAGAGCAGGTGGATTTTCAAGAAGAGATCAGATAGAGCAAACATACGAAAACATGTCGCCAGACTTAAAGCTGCACATCAGGAGGGAGAACATACACATATTAGGAGAATTAGGGGCCCAAGCAGCAGAGATAGAGGATATTGAACGTCAGAGGAAAAGTGTGCGCACAAATGCGCGCTCACCACCGCAAACGGTAACAACGGCAGCAATATACAATGCCACGGATTGCTGCTGGCGCTGCAAATAAAAAGGACATACAAGACGATTTTGCAGACAACCGGCAAAAAAGTTTTGCTCCCAGTGCGGGAGGGATGGAGTTTTGACAAAAGACTGCCATCCACGACCGGGAAACGCCGGGTGTATATCAGTTGGACACGGGGCAATTGGACACAGTCCAATCACAAGTCGCTATTCCAAGGGACCCTACAAATGTCTCTAATCACACGGTGCTGTGATTGGCTGTGTCCAAATGCACCGTGTCCAAGTGCACCGCTACCGAAACGCCGCACGGATCGAAGAGCAATAGGGCGACCCTCGGTCCCAAGAACACCGCGAATAATATACACACCGCGCCCGCAAATAAGAATCAAAATATACAGGACACAGCTTAGTAGGTATTATATAGGGGTTCTAACTCAGGTCCTCCGAGGGGGAGTT